CGACAAGCATTATGAGAAAAATGGCCTCCAGCTGGCAGTACCGTTCGCTCGGTGTTCTGGAATCTACAATATGTTTGACAAGCTAGCCTCGACGCAGGGGATTTAGCCAAAGAGCATTGCTTTGTTGTGGTAACTACAGGTAGATTCCTCTCTTTACAACGGCAAGTTCCACTACTGCCCTTAATGGTAAGTATTAGGCCTGAAGCTTCTTCGAAGCACGCGCATCGGTACAAGTAGACGGCAGGTTTTCGGTTCTCTAAAGCAATCATGAGATTGCAAGGAGTAATTTCCTCCTTTACTAAACTATAGTTCCAGTCGAGAGTTACCAGGATGTCATACTTCAGATTCATGTGGTTGCGTTGTCAATCAGTGGTAACACATGCCACTACGCTCGTTTATGATGGACAGCATCTACACTACCTCGTTGGTGTGGTCCAGAAGCGCCTCGAGCATCGAATAGAGACTTACGGACATAGCACATGCTCTTTTTGTGCAAAAACCCGCTGATCTTGAGACAATTTCACAGCTGTAAGTCTGAGGTGGCCCGAGTGCCAGGAGTGCCTGGAATAACCGCCTGTAGCTGCTGGAGCTGCTTATGATCTGCAGGGGAATCATATTTTAGAGTTTATAGAGCTGTTTTTTATTATCCTCCGCTAAGTTTTGGATGAGAACTGTCAGGCTCTATTTGGTTTAAACCTATTCCTTCTACAATGCTATTCTATACGATCAGCTGTTAGGGCTAGGGGCGTAACGAGAGGTCAATTGTATGGTTTGGTTCTACGTTCTTCTGGCGACTAACTGGCCCAGCTTCCGACCGAGACTTCTCCATCATGGCTGCCAAGAAGGGGGCAATGGGACCGTGCCAGGGTAAGAGAAGAAAATTTTTCACAGATGGCGGCATCGAGCGCTAGAAACCATTATTATATCGTATCACTTAAGATACTATCAAGTTTTGTTAGTTTCCCGTCGGCATACCGTATCGGTCGGCTCATGGACGTCGCTTAGCCACGGCTAGACGCGGACCCGTGGAAAAAACGGCTGGAGACTGTGAAATAGCGTACCTTCGTTCCTGGTTTCTGATGGTGGAGTGACTAATGATAATGAGGGATATATAGCAGGGATTGAAGTCGGGAGAATCGATGGGGATTCGACTGTTCTTCCTCATGGGGAGGAGAGGAATTCAAGATTCTGATTCTTTTTTGAGTTCAGTTGTTGCAGCTGGCCAGGATTAATAATTGAAGTATGACAGCATCGAGACCAAGAAAACGCATGGACGACCAATGGGATAAATTAAGGCGATAGATCCCTTGGCGAAGAATCTTGGACGAAGGAAAGAGTGGATCTCAAGCCGAAGCTGTAAGGCGCAGAGCTAAACGGCCGACTTGCGACAACAGGAAGTTACTTGGAGCGGGTAAACGTTCTTATTCGCTTCATTCCACGGGTTGGACTCTTTAGCTCGGTCTTCTCGGTACTCGGAACGACCAGTATACGAGGACTTTGATTATCAACGATCGTTTTCCAAGCTGTTGAGGTCTTTTTTTGCCTTGGTCACACATGTCTCAAGGTTGGGAACCCGTAAAGCACGCAAGATAACTCGTCGACTATGGGCAATGATTGACGAATAGTTTATGGGGGCAAGAGACCATCAGAAGACCTACTCAGTATGGTGTGAGATCTACGATCATCACGCGATTGGGACCTGGTTGGAATGCTGGAGAGTAAGGAGTCTGAAGTCCCATTAAAGGGTATTCTCTAGTTAGGGTTATGCCAAACTATTGGTCTGATGATCGTCACCACTACATATTTGTCAGGTTGCTGACTATTACTTTTCTTCCCCAAAGTCTTCGTGTCCCACGGGGGGAAACATCTTCTGACTCCGGAGTAAAGTTCATGACGAATATGACACAGGGCGTGAGGTCAACATCGCTTAAGGATTGATATTATCCGGGATTGGAGTTGAATGCACTGAATGTCACGGAAGGGCGCAAAGGATCATCGGGAGTTGGACCAATCGCTAGAAAAGTGGATCTCGGCCGATATTCGTGTTAACTATGGAGACGAACTATGAAAATATCCATTCATTCATGTGGTCGGTGTGTGAGTTTGTTGGTTCGGCCTTAATTTCTTTTTATTTATTTTTTTTATTTTTATTTTCTTCCCTTTTTTTGACCTTTTTGTCCAACAAGTGGATTATCGTCAACACGTGCTGAGGATGACCGATCAATGGGTTCTCTCTTTCTTTGCTCGATACGTGACTCATTTTGCGCCCTGTGGATTGACATGTCCGATTAGAAATACGTAGAAGGGGGATATGAGCTAGGTATTTAATATTTAATATTGAATCGCCGGGGGTCTTTCAACAGGATATCCATCGTTGTCATAGTGTGCTGCAAGTATACATCAAACTATCTCCACAGCTCGCCATTACTATTACCCAACGACAACCATCACCCCATCCCTACATTCAATTTAGAATCTTTTTCTTGCAGCTGGCGTCTCCCTTCGTTTCTTTTTATATTCTTCTTTCTCTCCTCGCTGCAACCCAATTCCTTCTGCTCAGTAATCATCTCTCCTCTTCACTATCAGTCTGGGGTGCTGCGCATGACGCGCTCTCCACGATACCCTGGAGCATTTCTCTCTGTATTATCCCTTACATTGTGAAGTACAGCCGCAATGACCTCATTTGTCACTCGTAGCTCCAGCACGTTGGAGTCCTTGACGCAGTCGCGTCCGAAGGTCGACATCGAGCTCTCCGGACAGACCGAAGGGCTTGTCAGTTCATATACCACCAAGGATCGTATTGAGGGGACGGCAGTTATAACGGTAGACCGTGATACTCGTTTTGATGAGGTTGAAATCACCTTCGAGGGTAAGGAAGCCCCAGACAGGACAGATCACTCAAAGCCGCAGGGAGCCTTTACTCATATCTACAGGGACATCGAGAACTTCCGTGGAGCGTGTAGCGATGCCAGGACGTACAGGCGCTTACCAGACATTCCTCCGACTTCGTCAACCGATTGAGGACTCTGCCTATCCTATGCCCCGTGTGCTGGAGGCCGGCCGCACTTACAAGTTTCCGTTCACATTTGTCGTACCCGATCGTCTGCTGCCACATGTATGTAGCCACGCAAAGACGAACGCCCATGTTGAACGCTCTCACACCCTGCTCCCACCTTCTCTCGCGGATCCCATGTTGGCCAATGATGGCAAGTCGCTCTTGAATGACCTAGCCCCCGATATGTGCCGGATATCATATTTGATCCGGGTTAGCGTGCAACGCAAGCCAGAGAATGCCCCGTCCAAGGCCTTGGCTTCGGTAGGAAAGAAGGTGCGGATCATTCCGGCCGTCGATGAAGAGCCCCCTTTGAACATCACGGACGACGACAGCTACTGCATTCGGAAGGAGAAAGACGTCAAGCGCGGTTTCATGAGAGGCAAGCTGGGCCGACTGGTTGTCGCCTCGTCACAACCCAAGCCTGTGCAACTGTGTCCGCCTAACAGTGAGGCCACTGATTCGGTCAGTACCGCTGCGACAGTACACCTACGATTTGATCCCGTGGGCAAGGAGGAACCTCCTCGCCTGGGCACGATCTGGAGTAAGCTCCGAGCGTCCAGTCTGTTCAGTGCAGAACCCTGGGGTGATTACCCTTCCCCCCGAAATGTGCCCTGGGCACAGATAGGTCAAGGATGTTACACCGAGACCGTCCCCCTTTCTACCATGTGCGTGGCGTCGGCACACTGGACGAAGCATACCAACCCCCGGGGACTCAGTCGCTGCGACTCGATGGAGTCAACATCATCCTCGGAGTCATTAACCGGTCCATCGGCGTCTTTTACCGGAGAAACCTACTATACCGCATCAGTTGTCGTGCCCATCACTCTTCCCAAGACGAGAGCATTCGTCCCGACCTTCCACTCGTGTCTGATCTCTCGCATATATTGCCTCGAGCTCAGCATCTCTTACCATACGCCAAACGCCAATATCCTGACCCCAACGGCAACGCTAAAGATCCCCATCCAACTCACAAGCCGGTCTCGGTCCGATGCAAAGACAAAGGGTCTTGAACATGAGATCACCCAGCATGAAGTTAATGCAGAATTCTTCAGCCCCCGCAGCGTCGCACCCCCGACAGTGGTCGAGGTGGCGCCACCGGAGTACTCGGAGAACCAAGGCCCAATTCTGCCTCCTGATCGTTCGATCGATTTGATGTCTACTGCCCGTGTCCCCAGGGTTAATGCTGGAGGTGTCGGGACTGCTTGTTAAAAGTCTTCCCGCATTCAGCAGTGAATGCAGGGGGTTTCATGAGATCTAAAAGTTCTGTGTTCCATGGCGTTGAGAAGATATGTTTTGTCTGAATATACCCGGATTGTTTTGTTGTATGAAATTCGCATAGCAATAGCGCATAAGGGCGTTTTTGATCGAGAGATCCGGTTATCTCCAGGGTCTGAAATCATGTTTGGGGTCTTTTGCACTGAGCCTAATTTAATTTAGAATAATTTAGTTTCAATATAGACCAACTTGATGAAAACCCGACTCCATACTATACGTAGTTCGACTAGCCTGAAATCACAGGCATCACGCTCTTCCCAGGTCACGCCCCTCCTCTTCCTTTTACGGCGTCTTCATAAAAGGCGCATTGAACAAAACATCCTCTTTTTGACACATTCAAGGGTCTCCTATCACCAGACTTGGAAACGTATCCTGAAAGCCTTGCCGAATAAAGCATCCATTGAGCACAATCCCGTACAAAGCAATATAATCCACAAGTATCCTGCCACTTGACAAAGAAAGCAGGGGTATGTGTCTTTATAGGAGCCGTCCAAGTATATCATCCTTTGTTTGCCCCCACAGTATTAGACAAACTGCCGAAGTTCATTGTACAGGTACCAGACATGCAGCATAGGACTATAAGTGGAGCATGGATTCCTTCTCAACAACACCTTCAGGATAGTCTCCTCGAGCACATATACTTGGGTATTGGCTGGCATCATTCTTCACTATGAGAAATTTCTTCCTCCTCCTCGGGGGCCTTGCATGCCTCACCAGTGCTGCCCTCATCCCGCATTCAAACGATAAACATCATACTCCTAGTCGTTCTGAGCCTGAGAACGGATATGTATCCATGGCCTACTTTGCAAGCTGGGTTAGCATTAGCTTTTCCCCTTCCACTGATTTCCTATCGAACTAGCACAGAAGACCTCTTTAACATGAAAGTGTAGGCCATATACCGTGACCACTATCCGCAGCATATTCCTGTCGACAAACTCACCCACGTCCTCTACGCCTTTGCCAACATCACCAAAACTGGCGAGGTTCGGTTATGGGATCCATGGGCTGACTATGATAAACACTTCCCCGGAGACCCACAGGAAGCAGAGAAAGACAATTTCTACGGATGCGTCAAACAATTGGGTCTCCTAAAGCGGAAGAACAAACATCTAAAAGTCCTTCTGTCGATCGGCGGATACACAAACTCAAACACAACTTGGGCTGGTATTCTCAAAGTTGAGGCAAATCGAAAGACCTTCGCCCAGACGGCTGTCGAGTTGATGCATAATGTGGGATTTGATGGTTTAGATATCGATTGGGAGGTCAGCTTTTCCCTTCTATTTCTTCTTTCATCATTTCACTAGGCTGATATCATGTAGTATCCCAAAGAAGAGAGTGCAAAGGATATGGTGTCTCTCCTGAAGGAAGTAAGAGAGGTATGTGTTGCGTATACATCAGGAGATACATATGACAATCCAATTCCAATAACAATTCTCTTGCCTCTCTTGCTTGACACACTGCTAAGAACCGACCAACAGGAACTGGACAGTTGCAGTAAGCAGCATGCGAATGGCAAAAAGTTCCTCCTAACCATCGCTTGCTCAGCCGGTATGTGTGGCCCCTTCAAAACACAGAAGAAGAGAGCTAACGACAAGTCTCAGGGCCGTCAAACTACAAGGCTCTCCAGATGTCTGAGATGGATAAATATCTCGATCTCTGGAACTTGATGGCATACGACTACGTCGGTAGCTGGGCCAATGCAACGGGTCATGCAGCTAACCTCTATGGCAACTCCTCTAACCCCGAAACCACCCCCGCTAATACAGATGATGCTATAAAGTACTATACTTCTAATGGCGTGCCATCCAACAAGATTGTCCTTGGAATGCCGCTTTACGGCCGCGCATTCGTCAACACTACCGGGCCAGGTCAACCCTATGTTGATGTTGGGACGGGGATGGGGGATCCCGGAGTTTGGCATTACAAGGTGCTGCCACTGGCTAACGCAACGGTTGTTGAGCTACCAGATTTAGGGGCTAGTTATAGTTATGACGAGAAAAACAAGATGTATGTTTCCTATGATACGGTGAAAACGACCATAGCCAAGGCGGACTATATCAAAAAGCAAGGCCTTGCAGGTGGAATGTGGTGGGAGACCAGTATGGATAAAGTTGGGGAAACCAGCCTTATTAGCACGGTATGTCTTTATTCCTTTACTTTCTATTGGCCCTAGAACCAATCTGCTTTCTAAATATTGAAACGATGTACTGACTTATATGGCTCAGCTGGTTCGGGAACTCGGTGGCACTGACGCTTTGGAAAAATCCGAAAATTATGTCAATTACACCTGGTCGAAATACGCAAATGTCCGGGATGGATTCAAGGCCGATCTGGAAACATGAGGAGGGTCACCGGTAGCTCTGGACGTCCATTCTACTCTTCTGACCTGAGCCATATTACCAAGTTCAAGGGGTTCAATCTACTATGTATTCCATATCTTAGTATCTCGCTATAAATAGACCTTATTGATTCGCTTTTCATGACACAAAGTGCCTCTCTCCTAAGTGAAATCAGTAGAACAACTGCGAGCTTCTGTTCATCTAGCTCTTCCACTAGAACCCAACGTATCACCTAGAGAAATAACCCGGCAACCCAACCCAAAATCTTCAGGCTATTCCTAGAACGAGTCTAAAGCAGTGAAAATAGGACAAGAATGACAGTTCCCGTTGCTTGTGCAAGTGTGGGATTTGCATGATCCCAAGACTAAGGGTTTTAATGTACCTAGGGCTGGAAGGGGAAGGATTACCTATCTCCTGGGAATTCTTTGACTTGCGTATGTTATTTGCTTTTGTTTTTATCACTGCATGATGTATTTATTCCGGGAACAAGGGGTCTTGTATCTCATGATGTTTGCGTTTTGATTTTTCTTATCTTTCCATGTGTCTATAGTATAAATTGTAAAAGAGGATGATGGACAGAGACATGCTGAAAAAGGTTCTACTGGTCAGTAGTAGGTAGAACCAAAATCTATGAATTATATATTCAAGGGCAACACAGCAAAACCAAGCCAACTTTTCTATACACAAAGAACATCTCCACTCAAGAACAGAATTCCAACGCCAGAAATGCCCAGAACCTCTTTTGAAAACTTGACTTCGTCCCGATCGGAAAGCACATCAGGTCAACATATCATCCAACTTCTCGCCGAGCACGTCCTCGATCTGCTTAACCCATTTGCGAACCTCCTTCTCCACGTTCTCGTCCTCGTCTTCCATCAGTTCACTGATGTAGGGCAGCATCTCGGGCAACAGAGCAAGCCATTCCTCGCCCAGCTGCTCGGTGAGCGCCTGTTCCGTCTTGAGGGCTGCGAGACGCGTGTGCGGGTTCTCGCCGCCGGCGGCTTTGCCGGTGGGGCCGGCTGAGGGACGCAGGTACCGCATAAGGACTGTGTTGAGTTCCTTGTGGTTGTCTGTGGAGTCGGCTGCCACGGCCAGTTCGGTGATTGCTGGGATGGCTTCGTTGATGACGAGGGTTGCTGTTGTGGAGTGAGTGGCGTGGGCGAGTTGCGAGATTAGGGGTGTTGCGATTTTGGTGAGGTGTGAAGGTGATTGCCAGACTCTGTTTTGGGTTGTGTTAGTTAATCTGCTTGGGTTAGGGTTAGGAAACTGTTTGTTAAGCTTACCGTCTTGGTCATGCTCGAAGGCGTTCTTGAGCAGGCGCATAGTTGCCAACCAGAGGGATTTGGTGTTGGGGTTGGACGGGCTGGCTTTGCCGAGGACTGATACTACGTTCTCGATGATGTAGCTGGCATATCCGGTGACAATGGACTGTGGTTTGTTAGAATAGGGTTGACTGGGTTGAAGAGAGTCCGGGACAATATTGTGCTTACCTGAAGAGTGCCGAAGAAGACCTGCAGGAACTTGTAGAAGGTCGTGAGCCGGGCCAGGCTGCCCTGTGTATCCTTCTTTGAAACGCCAGTTGTTGCCCACTCGAGGAGCTTGGTGAAGATAGGACGGAAGGTTGAGTCGTTGAGCTTGTAAATCATCTTGATTGTGACCTCGTTGACAATTTCCTCGATCTCGTCTACATCAGACAAGTCAAAAGTAGCATCCGATCCCAGTGCGAGTTGCTCGCGACGCAAATCGAACGCCTTGAAAAGAATATTGGTGATGACAGGGAGGTTCTTCGCGGTAGATGACTTCGGATGCTTCTCAATGGCCATGCTGACGACTTCCAGAGTTTCCTTCGTAGCTTCTGGTCCGGCTTGCACGGCATGCTGCCAGTTGCGGTCGACTGCGCCGAACGTTGCAGAAGCATCAACCTTCTTGGCCATAAGTCTCAACGCCTCCTGCCGGCTCTCCTCTTCATACTCATCGTTCATGGCGGACTTGTACGAAAGTACAAGGACCTTGTCCAGATGAGAAGCGGAGATCATGTAAGGAAGGTGGACGAAAAGAGCCGAGAACAAGGAGTAAACAGCATCGTGCAACCTTGTGTTCTCCTTGCCATCCTTCAAGCTCAATTCAAGCAAGGCCAGCGAGCGGTTGAGTGTGTCCGGTAAGGCAGGGATCATGGCCTGGCCCAGGACTTCGGCCATAGAGGCAAGACACAGCACGCCCATGATGCGAATACGGTTGTCCTCCTGTCCGATGCAAACCTCACTAGCAACAACCCTGGCGGCAGGGATAACCTTCGACGGGTCCTTCTTACCATACTTGTCGGCTATGCGGTCGATGCAAGCCACCGCAGCATGCTTGAGCAGGATGTCTGGCGAAGACTCGACAATCTTGACCAAGACGGGCAAGAAGTCCAACATTCTGGTTTGGGAAGGACTGTCGCGTTCAGGGTTCTGACGTAACCGGCCTTCCAGAAGTCGGAGAACCTTGCGGCGGAGTTCATCGTTGGGACGCTGAAGCAACACCTCGATCGTGTCGAGGAAATCGACGAGCGATAAGGTTCCGAACAGTGCACTGAGAACTTCGCCACTTGCCTGGCTGACGGGCTTCATGTCCTGCATGTTGTCTCCAATTGCCAAGGTTTGTTCCAGGATCTGCGAGAAAAGGGCGCGGATTTGTTGAGGTTCATCACCTTCCTCTGTTGTGAAAGCTTTGGCCATCTTTGATTTGAGAGAAGAATGCCTAAACAGATAGGCCAAAGCCCGTAGAAGGTCAACGGCAACCTTCTGAGGCTCACGGCCATCGTCACTTCCGATTCCAAGGAGAACTTGTGAAATACCAGGCTTCGACTTGAGAGAGTCGCTGACCAGTCCGAGATACTTGCTGTAGGTGGCAAGTTCAACAGGAGCATTGGCATCCGATACCAGGCCCGTCATCAAAATCAAAACATCCTTATCCATGGAATATCTATTTGCGAGCATGGACAAAACAGCGAACAAGAAGTCCTGGGTTCCAAGTTTGGTAATAAGGGCGTGGAAAAGTCGGAGGCGGCGATGTGAAGGGATGTGCTCGAAGGCAGCGGTGAAGCTGAGCAGCAACTCGGATGTCCCTGACACAACGTCACGCTTCTGGTTACGCAATGACTGAATGAGGGCCGGAACGACTTGGTCAATCGTTTGATCGATCACGGAAACAGAGTAGTCGTCATCCTTCTTGAGCACGCTGGAGCCCATGAAAGTGAAGATTGGCATCACACTGTGGAGAACCACTTCAGGAGCAATGACAGACAGTCCCGCGACCAAGAGAAGGGCTGCGTTCTGCACTTGAGGACTGTCGGTAGTGCGGACACAATCGACAACCAGATCCGCGCGAATAACGGAGGTATCGAACTGTGGCTTACCAATGGTCTTCGAGCGGTTGACAATAGCCAACAAGCTGCCAAGTGCCAAGCTGAGCAGGTAACTCATTCCTGACTGAACTTGAGACTTGAAGTGGTGAAGAGCAGCCAGGGTTTGGAACAAGCCGTCGGCCAATTCCGGGTGAGTCTCAGGGAAAGAACTATCTACCAACTCCAGAATGAAGGTCATCTTCTCCATGAGTTCACTGAGAGTAGCCTCATCCTTGACAGTCATTGCGACCATATTGCTCTGGCTGGTGCGCCTTCTCTTGGGAGCTGGTCCAAGACCTTCCATATCAGTGACTGTGGCAGGAATCTTCTGAATGAATTGAGAAAGTACAGCTCCCGGAAGCTCTACACTGCGTAGGATGTCCCTACAACCATCAACCAGTGGCGAATCAGACTGTTCCAGAGATATCTCAAACAGATTCTCCGCGGCAAGGACTTGCCGGTCTTCAGAAACCTTGGGCCAGACATCCTTCATACGACCGAAGACTGCGCCGACGAAAGAAGAGCTCAAGGACTCCGAATACGGGCTCACGGTTGATAAAAGCACGGTGATAGCGTCTCTCTCCTTTGGTGTCACCGTCAAGACAATCTGGTTCTCCATCTCCGAAACGGGGACTCGCTCCTTCTCGCAAACATCCTTGGCCTGCTGTCCACCCATCTCTCTCCAGTTCTTTAGTAGCGGCCCAAGCTCCTTAGTACGGGTCGTTCCACCAGCCTTTTCAACACGGTTAAGAAGCTTTAACAAGCCAAACTTGGGTGCATAGAGCGGGACATGAACAGCATGAGAGCAGAGGCAGGTGAAAAAGCTTAATCGAACGGCCTTCTTAAGCTCAGACGACTCCGAGTCCGAAACGGACGAACCACGCAAAGTAGCCTCGAGGACTCGGCCGATATGATCTGGATCAATGACATATTCTTCCAATCCTGGAAGCAAAGCACGCTCAAAAACCTTCTGTAAATCGCGGCCCGGGATCCATTGGATATTCTTTGGCTGACTGTCTTGACCGTAAATTGTGTTGCTGGCCCAGATACCTCCTGGAGCATCACCCTTCTTGTTCTTGTGGAGGCTACCAATGATAGTCAAAATGCCAGCAGCCTCCCGACGAACTCGCTCTGAAGGATCGGCAAGAGTGGCTAAGACAAATGGCAGTAACGCTTGGAGATCCACGTCAATGGAGGCAGTAGTGAGGAACGAAGAGACCATATTCAACGCAGCCACTCTGGTGCCAATGGGATATGACCCGGAGAAGACCCGGACAAAGAAAGACAGATATTGAGGAGATTTTGTAGCGTTCGCTTTGTCAAGAGCTGGCAGGCTGGCGAAGGCATCAAGCTTCTCTTGAGACCCAATACCCAAGCCAAAAGTCCGGACAAGGTTATCGAACACTGGGATGGATTGGGTGCTGAGATATGAGCCCTTGAACGAGCTACCCGCCAGAGACTCTAGAGCCGGCGTGAAATTATCTTGCTCCTCTTCCTTCTCCGCGTCTTCCATCTCCACGTCTTCCAAGGCTTTGGGAGCGGGTGCGGACTCGATAACTGTTTGCAGGTTTTGTTCGATAGCAGCAATATCAAAGGATGACTCCGCAACGGTCTTCTG